TTTCTAGCATGTTTGCTTTTTTAGGATTACTTGTTTGCATTTCAGTTTTGCCTGTTTTGTGATTCTTGTTCTTTTTTTAAAACAGTTGCTATTTATTTTTTGAGGTTCTTAAACTTTCTTTTTATACTGCTATAAATTCCTCCAGAATAAATTAATTCCCCCAATTACTGTCATCAGCTTTTTTAGCACTTGTTTTCCTAATGGAAATATATTTTCTAGATAGGTAAAAATATCACTTTTAAATATCAGTATTTTTGATTCCTTTAAAATAATAATATGCCTTTTTAATTTTAATATACTCTACTGGATAGAATTCACACTATTATATATAATAATACAGCATATAAACTACTAATCAAGATGATGCTATGAGATCACAGTTCAAAGTCATCTAACTAGAGTAAGCACATAATGAAAAAGATGTAATTGTTTCCTACCTAAAAAGATAAAGCCATGTTCAAAACCAAGATGAATATAAGAAAGTAAATAAAACATAATAAACAGAAACTGCTGAACTCTGGTTCTCTAAAGACAGACAGGGGTTTGAAGTTTGATTTCTCTAAAAGTGTACAAATAAAACATATGCTTATATACACACATATCAGTAGCTTTCCTATACAGCAGGACTACCCTATTAAAAATTAATTGTACAGTAGGACACCTAAACAGGCAGCCCAGATCCAGAGCCTATTCTCTTAACCTTTATACTGTATTCCATTGCATGATTTATTACTTATATTGACTTGGCCCTAATCATTGAGATAAGAAATAGGCTAGTATGCCTGTAAGATCTCTGGAATGTTCATGTTCAAAGGAGCCCTTTCAAACATATCTCAAATTCTTTCCTTCCATGATTTCAGTATTTGATTAGTGCTCAAACCTTTCCAAAATACCTCTTTCAAGGTGGAGCTAGCCAGGACTTATTTGGCTTCACCTCCAAATTTTGTTTGCTCTATTTGCATGGTTTTTTTTCCTCTCATGATAACTCAATCACTGGAAAGCAGTCCAACCAATGAAGAGAAAAGAATGTGTGATTTTAGCTCTTCTGAAACCTCAACTCTGTGGAGCCAAATTCTTATTATCTTCTTGGCTTCCCTCACTCTTTTGGTCAAAAGAATGCAAACTTTTTCACACAGTTCTGTTTTTCTTCTGGCTTTGTCTCTTTCTCTTCATAAGGTCTATGTGACCTATACAATTCCTTCTACCTCCTTTAGTTATAGTTCCTTTTATTTTCTTTATTTCTATTAGGGAAATTTGTTGGCTTTCCTTTCCTCTCCAAATTTGTTCTCTGATCAACTAATACTGTGGATTAAGTGGGAAAAATTTAAGTTATTTTCCTTAAAGTCAAAACACACACACATATTCACATTCAAAATTAGAGAAATAGACCTTAATGAGGGCAAGATTAAAAATCAGTGCTGCACTTTCATGATTTTTAGTAGAATTGATGAGCTAATTATGTTATATGACTGTGAATATAAATTTATGCAAATTTATATTTCCAGAAGTAGAGTATTTATTACAAGTCTTGTCAGTCTTTGAATTTGTTAGACTGTGTGTTAGCTTTAATTCTGAGTACCACAAGATAAGAGAAATTGGTAAATTCAAAAATAAGCAATCAGAATGGTCAACTGTGGCTGTCAAGCTTGGAAATATGCACATGTTTAATGGATTATTTTCCAATCTTGTTTGGTGGATAGAAATAGGAAACAGATCTTGTAGATGGTAATTCTAAGGAATCAGGTTTTGATTTAGTTTGATTTAGGGAATATTCTTTCTATTTTAATACACTTGATCAAAATGTGTTGCTAGAAATGGCATTGAGTTCCCCATAAATAAAGGTTTTCAAGAAAATTATAGATCACTATTTAACTCAAATGTTGAGGTGAACTGAGTAGATTATATCTCAAATTATTTCAATATAGGGAGTCTTTGATTCTCTATTCTAAATATTCTACTGGACAATTCCAACAAAGCAGAAAGAAAATGCCTCACTAATCCAATTGACAAATAATATTTTTGTTAGTAAGTATTTTCTTTTTTCTACAAGAGACTGTGCTGAACTTCAGTGAAAAAAGAAACAAATCAACAACAAAAATCTGATACTAGCAGCAGTACCATTCTAACCCTACTTCCCCAAAGAAGATTACAAATCAATTTGGATGACACAAACGATGTATTACATATAATGCAGTTAAATGAGAATTTAGTAATTAAGTGGGAATAAAGACAATGAAGCAGAATATTTTTAAATTGATAAGTGGTAAAACAATAAATTCAGAAGTTAAGAGGAATCATAGTAAGCATGCAAGAAGGAACGTAGAAAAAAGTAGGACTACTATTTGACCTTGAAATGACTAACAAAGACACACATTGAATAATGTACCCAAGCTTAAATAGATTTTACAGATTTTTTTGCATAATTTTCTCTAATTTAAAGTAACCTCAATTGTGTGTGCATGCATGCAAATGTGTGTATATTAATGCATAAGCATATACGAATATGTGTTTATAAAGATGTATATTTACACTAACATAAAACTAAATTTTGGTTGTCTATAAATAAAAATATAATTTCTGGTAGAACTTCTAAGCTTCCTCCTAGAAAAATGACAAATCTTAGATGTTCTTTCATTTCTTGAGTTGGTTCTTTTTATCTACAATAAAGGAAATTGGTGTATTCTTTTGAAACTTTATAGTAATAAAACCAAGTGAAAAATGCCAAAGGAAAATAAACATTATCCAAAAACTGTGCCTGTGTTCAAAGCGTAGTTCAAGTATAGTATATATCAGTGATCCAAAATGGAAAGGAGACTCAGAATTGATCTTTACTTGCTCTGAAAGAAAGGAGTGTGAGATAAGAAAAATGACAAGTGAATATGATTGTCAAAATTACTGATGTGAACAAAAATGACTGATGCTCTTGAACTTTAGTGGAATAAAATGTTGGAGATACCACATAGAATAAAGTCACTTTAATATTCCTGTGAAAGTCCCATAGATATTCCAAACACTCTTAAATAATTATTTGGTTGGTGAAAGTAAAACAGAACAACAACAAAAAATCCTTTTTCCCCAAGTTTGAAAACAAGCACATTGTTCTCACCAAAGGCATTCAAATGCAATTTTTCAGGCCTATTCTTGCCCAAATCTGTAACTTCATTTATTTTATGTGATTAAGGTCTGTGATACAAAAAGGGAATTTACACTTTCCAAGTGTCCAGATAACCAGTTTTAAGTATGGAAGAAACTAATATTTAAGCAATGCTTATGGTTTGCCAGGCACATGTTAAGAATGTTGTAAAAAACCAATTTCTTCACTTAAAGGTACACTTGACAGATAAGCTCCAAATCTCCTTTTAACCATAAACATACTCAATTTAGAAGTTTTAAATAGTCTTTGACCTTGGTACTTAAAAGTAACAGCAACAAAAAACAACAGGAATGTGTCACTGACTTAGATGATGGAGATAGGGAAATTTCAGACAATAAAATCTAAATACGCATTTATAAATTCACTTTAATTTAAGGGGATTTGGTGTTAAGTGTAAAAATGAGACCTTCTTACTGTGATGCTACCTTAAATCTGAAGACTCAAATGTCTGAAAATAAGGTTGACTTACTGGCTCTACATCTGCAACATATCACTAAGTATCAGATTCTTTGTCTGGAAAACCAGCTTGGTTTTTTGGCGAGGGGAGCACTATTTACTTAACACAAATGTTTTATATCCATGATTTTCTCCAGTAAGAAATTCTTTGAGAAGATGCTGTTAGCCTTGGCCACTCTAAGAATGGAGTCATCTGACTCCCTCACACCCTTATCCTGAAAATAGCACAGCAGATAGCATAGGTTTTAAATTGGCCATTAAACCTGCCCATTGAATGGCCAGTTAACCTTGTCAACCTCAGACATGTTCATCTGAATGGATGTGTGGTCCTTGGCACCAATGATACGGTTGCTCGTGGAGTATTTCCTCTGTACCTGCAGGTCCACAGACTTGAGCAGGATAATACCAATTATGTCCAACCACAGAAGCATGGTGAGAGTTAAATGAGATAATGCACAATGTGTGTGAAAATATCCACTATCTGTGAAGAACCATGCAAGTGGTTTCTTGCCATTAAAAGTTGCTAACAATAGTGTCACCATATATTACTTAAAAACAAATATTACATTTGGCTTATCACTAACTCTAGGGAAGGTCGAAATTGACATGAACAAATAAACCTTCAGGAAAGAAAAACAGAACTCCATGTGAGGTCTGCATATGATATGGTTATATTAAACACTTTGAAACAATTAATTGGTTTTTGTTGTTTCTCTTCTAGAATTTTTAAAAATTAAAAATTCTTAATCCTCTCTATCCAATGTAAACATTTTACATTGTCCTGTAGCAAGGTTGCTTCATGGGTGGGTTCCCAGAAGGTAACAATATGCTGTCTCTGCTCTCTGGACAGCCTCTGCGATGATACAAAGTTGCAGATCTGATAGTGGTAGGTTCTGTTCTGCAGAAACCCCCTAATCCTCTGTTTACCACAACAAGAGTCTATTGCTATAGAAATGATAGCTGAGATCCCAGATTCAACATCACTGACTTCACAGCAGGGCCTGGTAAGAAGAGAAGCTAAACTACAAGGGGGAACACAAAATCTGAGAATAGTAGGTACTCTGTTGCCTTGAAAGAAGGGTAATTGTCAACATTAAAATAAAAAATTCATGAATAAACTACATTGTTGGGTATGCTGTAGTTTATTTTCTATGTAATGCTGCCTGACTAAAAAGCAATAATTTGAAATCTTATGTCATTTAATAGTTTGCTTTCAAAAGGTCAGCAGTTTCCCTTGTTGCATTTGTTTCTTATTGAAATAAGAAACAAGCAGTTTCTAATTAATCTTCTTGCATAATTGATGTTTCTGTGGTCAAAGAATTCCCTTTTCATGATGTGTTGTTTTGTTTGTGTGTTTATTGTGTTTGTTTTGTCTTGTTTCTATTAATAGAAGAAAGTGAACCTGAGCAAGATACTAAAGGTATTTTATTTTTCTTTCTGCATGGCTCCTTTTTTAATGGCTGTTTCAATTGTTTATTTTTGCTGACCTTATAAACACCTGTAAGTGCCATTATTTTGTTAAGAAATAACAAACAACGTATGGGGAATATATTAAGTCATAGCATTTAACAGAAGGTTTTTAGATGGGTTACTTTATTATATAATGTACTTACTGACCATTTACATTTCTTAAGAAAAGACTGGGTCAACAGAAATGTTTACATTTAGTGTCCCAAACTCTGGAAATACAAACAAAATGGGATTAAATAAGTCATCTTGAGAGCATAAAAATCACACAGATTGGAAAAGAAAGCTACTCTTTGACTAAAAGACTTCTTTTGAGGGTATGAAGGTTTATAATTTTTGGTGAAATATTAAAGTGTCAAAGAGCTAGCTTGGGTTATTATTTTAACAGGATAAGGAGAATTATATAGTTGCTCCCAATCAATATAAATTATTTCATTTCAATTGCACACAGACATATATATTAGTGGAATATGTTTAGAAGAAAGTAGTTGGAAATCAAATTGGTTTGGGAAAATCCATACTGAAGAACAACAGTTATCTATCAAAAAAAAAGTAACTTGCATCCTGACTAAGCCCCAAACTTTGTGCTCTTTTAACCAAAATTTGGATATTTGGGGGATACAATTAATAAATTCTAGTGCAATACAGCTTGACTCTAGGTATTAATCTTAGTCTGATATTACTTAAGACAGTACCTCTTTTTTATACCTTATATAAAGTACTTGAAATGTTTCCTATTTCTAAATACCAGATTGCTTACAACTAGATGCAGGTAAAAACATGTTACATGGTCCTGTATGATATTTTTTCCCCCTGTTTATTCCTATCAGTCATTACTGGATTGAATCATGTAACCTAAAAACCCTCTTTAAGGAAACTAGAAAATAATAAAAGAGCAAGATAAAATAAAATTCATGGCACATCCTTGTGTCCTTTGAGATAATTGCTCAGAAATAGATATTGATAAGTGATTTAAATATCCATCTGGTTCTGCTTGCTCACCAAGAAAAGAGAGTTCCTCTCAAGCCAAACTGCTGCTTAATTTCAGGATTTAATATGAGTCCTCTGTCCCTTGGGCTTTCCATTACACACCAGTGCAATTTCAGAGTAAATAATAGCTTTATCTCCTTAATATGAATTACCTGTTAAGATGGCAATCAACAATAACTGACAAGGTGTCTGAAAGTGCTTTGAAAAATGGAGAGAGAGACAACATAACATAATTATGTTATAAAGTGCTTGGAAATTTCTGACTGGATTAATCCCCATTTGAATATAGGATTCTCAACTTGCAGTTAGCACTGCACACCTTCTCTAGAGAAATGAAAGCCCAAAACTCATGAGTGGATCTCATGAGAGAAAACCCAGAGATAAAGATGTAGCCTGTGTCTATCTTCCATGTTGCAGACGAACAATAACTTGTATGCTCACAGGAAAGCAAGTGGGGAAGAACTCACAGTGAGTAGGAGATTGATGGATAAGACCATATACAGAAAAAGGAGTTGGATAATATTTTTTGTTTAAAAAACTATATCAAAACAGTTATAAATATTTGCCAAGTAAGTAATTTTATGCCCCTTCTATTAAGTAGCTTGTTTATGTAACAAAAACATGTTTATATTTTCTTTCATGCAAAGTAGGAATATTCAATGATTATTTAATTTGATAAGAAACATATCACATTATTTTTAAAACTGATGACCTAGAATATATTTTCAGTTTGTTTGTTTGAAAATAGTAAGATTTACTGTTGACCTATATCCAAGTTTATTATTGCAGGCGTATTATTATCCATGGAAGTTAATCTGGCATTTATTTTTAATTGCAGTTGAATTTATTGGTTTTAATGCTTGATAAATGTGTTAGAATTTATTTTATCACCTTTTCACTTTTTGCATTTGGAGATGAGAACAAACAGAGATGGGTAAAAATATGTCAGGTTTATTACTGATAAAGCTGGATTGAAAAATAAAGATTTCTACTTCATGTAGGAATTAGACTAACATAACTTCTGTTTCGTCTTTCTCTTTACCCCCTCCTCACTCTTTCCTCTTTCATTCCTAGTTGTAACAAGAAGAGACCTTGACCTGGGAAATTTACCACACATCAACCCCTCACCCTTCTTAGATGCAGGATAGCCAGGAGAATGATGGCCCACAGAAAAGCTGAGATACACAGAACACTTACAAATCCTTCTCCCGTCTCACCTAAGAAACCACTCATTCATTCATTCATTCAGTAACTAGTTAGTGATTGCCTACCATGTACCATGCAGAGTTCTAGAAATAGATGTAGATATGTAGATAGAAATATAGGCATATCAGTCAGCCTGTTAGTGAACAAAACAAACCGTACCGTTGTGATGCTTACATTCTGGGGGAAGAGACAGTCAAAAAGGAAATAATAAATACACCAGTAGTTAATAAATAAGATAGTGATAAGTGCTATGGAAAAATATAAACAAGAATGAAAAGAAGAAAGCATTAAGATAAGAAGACATTTGAATAGAAACCCAAAAGACATCTGCAACCTCCTTTGAGACTGGGAGGAAGGGTAGAACTGTCTTTCCATACTGAAAAAAGTGGGGTTGAGTTTTTTGTAGAGAATATGAGAGTGCAGGAAAAATCAACTTCCCTTTAATCCTTGGCCTTATTTTCTTCTTAGCCCACGGCCCTTAACAAAACCCACGGTCGGCCAATGCTATATCTTCCCTCTTTTGGGTAGGAGACAGCAGTTCATCAGCACAATCTCACATTTATGAAGGTACAATAGTACTGCAATGCCAGTGATACTCCTTTATGTACCCCCTGTGCCCCACCGAAACCCCAGGAAGGTTCTAATATAGGGCAGAGTCATATATTAATTAAATTAACTTCAAAATCACATTGAACTTTAGAATGATGATTAATTCTGTTTTATTTACCATCCCTCATTATGTTTAGCTGTGTTGTGCAATATGGATAACCAGAGATTTTGCAATGAGTTCAAATGACATTCCAAATAATGTAATACCAGCCCGGGGTGGGGGGGGGGTGTGCTGAAAATGAGAACAAAATAAGACCTTCCTGATTATTACATTTCCAGGAAGAATTTTAAGTTCCCAAATTAAAACTTTATAAATTAAAGCAGCAAAACAATCTAGATTTCATTCTTTCCCAAATTTTTATCTTGCTCATCTGCAGCCAGAAGTTCAAGAGGACCCTCAATGTCATTAAAACACTTCCCAGCCGGGCTCGGTGGCTCAGCCTGTAATCCCGCGCCTTTGGGAGGCTGAGGTGAGTGGATTGCCTGAGCCCGCGGGTTCGAGACCCGCCTGGGCAGCGAGACCTCATCTCTACAATAAATCAAAAAATCAGCCGGGCGTGGTAGCGCATGCCTGTAATTCCAGTTACTTGGAAGGCTGAGGTGGAAGGATCGCCGGAGCCCAGCAGGCGAGATTGTGGTGGCCGGGAGCGGCCACTGCACTCCAGTTTGGGCGACAGAGTGAGACTCCAACTCAAAAAAAAAAAAAAAAAAAAAAACACTTCCCCAGCACAAATGACATTAAAATAATACAACTCAAAATTTCTCAAAGATCCTACTTGTTTCAACTTCTCAGAGACAATGGAACCCATAAGATGATCATTGCAGTCGTCTCACACTGAAAAAATGTAGGACACCCAAACATAGTCCCAAGCTCTACAAGAGTTATTTCGGCCAAATTACCCACGTGAACTCAAATATGTTGTGCAATCTAGGTCTCCATAATTGTTCCCAGAAAACATCAGAAAGGAAAGTACCTGGGTGCACCCTTGCTAGGATGCCTGTCAGTATGCATTAGTCATCAAAAGCCACAACCTGTGAAATTGAACTAAGAGAAGAAGAATCCAAACAGAGCCACACATTGGATTTAGGGGATATGCCTCTAAAGTCTCTTTTGATCTAGAATAGATCATTCTTCTTTTTTCCCCCTGTTGCTATCTATTTGTTGAATAAACTAAATAATCTGCCCCCCTTAAATGTTTGGATTCAATTGACTTGCATTTCCATGGTATTCTTTAACATGTTCTTTAACCCTCTAATTTTTGTAAATCTGTAATTAGACTCCGGAATTTACTTAAAATCAGGCTCAATTTTGGTTTCGGGGGACAGATTCAGCTGCATTTTAGACATTTGATACCATTTGTGGTGGTTGTTTTTTAACCACTTGTTGCCTTAAATATAGCACCTTTTGCCATTGTTTCCTCTCCAGGTTTTTGGGCCCAACATTTGTGTATCTAAATTGTTCTGGATTTTATCTCTTAGAATCCTTAATATCGAAAGATAGGAAGTTAAATTAATTAAAATCTTCAAAAAAACATCCAGTTGTCAGAAAAATCATATCTTCCTTTGTCTCTTTAAATTATGTAATTCTATTATGCATCCATAAATAAGGACAAATATATGGCCGTCATTGCAACTTGGATAGATTTAGAGTCTAGAGTACCATATGTTCTCACTCATAAGCACACCTTAAACAGTTACCATAATACTATAAGAAAAGGATTGGCAGTTAAGGGAAACTGCCAGGGGAGTGGGGGCCACAACCCATCAACTAGGGTACCAGCATTTGTATACCTAACCCTGAATTGTACCCCACATCACATCTTTCAAATTAGAAATTCAAAATAAATAAATAAATCTTTTTAAAAGTATGCATTTTCAAACCAAAAAAAAAATAAATAAATAGATAAATAAATAAATAAATAATGTAATTCTTTTTAGGAAGCATTCAATAATCAGACTGTCTTTCAGCACAGCGCTGGACTTGTCCTACATGTCTCCTTTCCTAGTGTATGCTGTGTCTCCATACTTAAGAATCCAAACTTCAGAAATTTCAAGTAACTAGAAAAGCTAAGTTTCAAAACATTGTTTTAATAGAGACTCAATACTTTAAGATTACGTTCTGTGCTTAAGTCCCAGAAATCAAAAAGTGATATCATACAATATCATATTTACCATATAATAGACAATCAAAAAGATTCTAGTTTTAAAAGAAAACTAGACTTGAAGTCAGAAGACTTGAGTCCAGGTTTCTCACCTATCACTTTTACTACATTAGGAAAACAATTTAAATTAATTAGGATTTGGTTTCCTCATCTATACAATAAGAGCAGGAATCTGGTTGATCTCTGAAATATTTTCCAAGTTTAATGATTCTGAAAGTCTAAGTCTCTTCCAGTCTGTTGTACATTCTGAGCTCAACCCCACTCTTTAGTTAAAGGGAAAATTTCTCCTTATGTCAATAACTTTCTGTTATTTAATCGGTGGGGTTCTGTCTCAGAAAGGAAAGTAAATCACTCATTCTCCTACCCACACCTTCCCTAGAATATTCTTTTTCTTTTTTGTCCAACACGTTGTCTCACTTTCTGAAAAGTTTGACAAATTCTCTCTGTCCTCCTACTATCATACAGTTGAGGGTGTAAAGTGTTACTTAATCATTTTATTAATTCAATAAAATATTATTCTGTTCTTGCTTTGGTCAGAAACTCTGCTAGATACTGAATGCAGCAGTGAACAAAACAGGCAAAGCTTTTGGTTTCAGACAATCCAATGGGAAAGAGAAATAATAGACAAGTAAAAATATAAATAAGATATTTTTAGATAGTGGTAAGGTTTGTAGAGACAAGAATAATCATGAAAAGTGAATGGGAGGAGGATTACACTTTATGTTGAGTGATTAAAATGGATCTTTCTGAGGAAATGTCACTTGAATAGCGACTTGAATGATCCAAGGAATCTTCCCTGCAAGGATATAGGGGATGAGTGTCCCACACAGAGGAAGAGCAAGGGCAAACTGGGTTAACAAGCTCAGTGTGTCCTGGAGTGGTGAGAAATGTAGGGTCATGACATAAAGGGCTTGGAGGCCCTGTCTGGCTTTTGATATTATCCTTAAGACAGAGGAACACACTGATGGGGTCTGATTTGCATTTCTTAAAGACCACTTTTATCTTGGCCATTCCCTATGTGAGAGTGACTCACCACTTCTGTCTTCCTAACAGTTTTTGCCAGAATCCTGCGGGCTCCTGAATCCCACAATGTTACCTTTGGCTCCTTTGTGACCCTGCGCTGTACCGCTACAGGCATCCCTGTTCCCACCATTACCTGGATTGAAAATGGAAATGCTGTGAGTGTCATATGTGTGGGGATTAGTCTGGGGTAACTTGCAGGGTGGACCAAATATTAATATATTAGTAAAGCTGTCTCAATCTCTGTCATTAATTTCATCTACATGCCTTTCTTTATTTTTATAAATTTAGGAGGTACAAGTGTAGTTTTGTTACATGGATTTGTTGTAAAGACTAGGAGTTTAGGGTAATCATCACCTGAAAAGTGTGCACATTGTACCCATTAGGCAATTTCTCATCCTTCACTCCTTTCCCACCCTCCCACCTTTGCAAGTCTCCAATGTCTATTCTTCCGCTCTCTATGTCCATGTGTACACATTATTTAGCTCCCACTTGTAAGCGAGAACATGTGGTATTTGATTTTCTGTTTCTGGGTTATTTCACATAAGATGATGTCCTCCAGTTTTGCCCATGTTGCTGCAAAATACATGATTTTCTTTTTTATGGCTGAGTAGTATTCTGGGAGATACATATAGATACAGATATTGTTTTTATTTTTCATATTTTCTTCATCTAATCATCCATTGGTAGACAGGATGATTCCATATCTTTGCTATTGTGAATAGTACTGCAATAAACATAGCGAGATGCTGGTGTCTTTTTAATATAATGCTCTCTTTTCCATTAGGTAGATACCCAGTAGTGGGATTGCTGGCTCAAATGGTAGTTCCATTTCTACTTCTTTGAGAAACCTCCATACAGTTTTCAATAGAGGCTGTGCTAATTTACATTCCTATCAACAGTGTATAAGTATTCCCTTTTCTCTGCAGCCTCACCAACATCTGTAGGTTTTTTGTTTGTTTTGTTTTACTTTTTAAAAATAGCCTTTCTGACTGTGTGAGAAGGTATCTTATTGTGGTTTTAATTTGCATTTCTCCAGTGATTAGTGATGTTGAGCATTTTTTCATACGTTTTTGGACATTCGTTATGTCTTTTGAAAAATGTCTGTTCATGTCCTTTGCACACTTTTAAATTTTCTTTTTCCTTGTTGAGTTGTTCGAGTTCCTAGTAAATTCTAGATATTAGTACTTTGTTGGATGCATAGTTTACAAATATTTTCTACCATTTCTTAGGTTGTCTGTTTACTCTGTAAGTTATTTCTTTTGCTGAACAGAAGCTTTTTTAGTTTAATTAAGTCCCACTTATCTATTTTTTTGTTTCATTTTCTTCAGAGATCTTAGTTATAAATTATTTGCCTAGGTCAATGTCCGGAACAGATTTTCCTAGGTCTTCTACTACAATATTTATAATTTCAAGTCTTACATTTTTAACATTTTAAAAATTTTATTTTAAAGTTGTGGGGTACAAATAAGGATTGCATACACAAATGATTTAGGTACAGGTGAAATTTTGGGTCTCCCATTGGATCTCACTTCACCTTGTTTAGGATCAGGCACCCTTACTGATGTTATGTGCTCCCCCTGCACCCTGCCAGCAGTGTCCCCACTGCTACTGCTGATCCCTTTTTTGTAGTATTATGATAGGTATTCAGGGTCCACTTATGAGTGAGAACATGTGGTGCTCATTTCTTTATTTTGTGATAGATCACTGAATACGATAGACTCCAAATCCATCCAAGTTGCTGCAAAATTCATAATTTTGTCCTACTTTATGACTGCTTAACGTTCCATTGTGTATATGTACCATACTTTTTCCAGTCCGCTTTTGATTGGCAGCATGATTGGTTCCATGTTTCTGCTATTATGAATAGTGCTGCAATAAACATGCTTATGTACATAACTTTTTTATAGAATGCTCTGAGTTTCTCTGGGTATATTCCTAGAAAGGGGATTACTGGGTCAAATGGAAGGTCAATTTGTAGGTCTTTAGTCCATCTTGACTTAATTTTTATATGTAGTGAGAGATATAGAACCAACTTCATTCTTCTACATATGGTTATCCAGTTTTCCTAGAATCATTTGTTGAATAAGGTATCCTTTCCCCAGTGTATGTTTTTGTTGACTTTTTCAAAGATCGGTAGGTTGTTGGTATGTGGCTTTATTTCTGCATCTTCTAGTCTTTTCCATTGGTCTGTGTGTTTATTTACATACCAATACCATACTGTTTTGATACTGTAGCCTTGTAATATTATTTTTATTATTTGTATAATTTGAAATCAGGTAATGAGATGCCTTCAGCTCTGTTTTTTTACTTATTTATTTGTCTGTTTTGCTTAGAATTGCTTTGACTATTCAGGCTCATTTTTGATTCCATATGGACTTTAGATTTTTTTTTTTAAATTCTGTGAAAAATGACATCAGTATTTTCATAAGAATTGCACTGAATTTGTGATTACTTTAGGCAGTATGGTCATTTTAGTGACACTGATTCTCCCAATCTATGAGTATGTTATTTTTTTCTATTTGCTTTTATCATCTATGATTTCTTTCTCGAGTATTTTGTAGTCCTTCTTGCAGAGATATTTCACCTTCTTGCCTCCTACACCACTTTTTGAAGTCTTCTAATATCTTTGTTCTAGAAGTCACTGCTATTGAAATTGATCTCCAGGAGTTTGCTTCTTTCCTTGTATCATGTGGGAAACTATAAATCAATTCCTTTATTTGTGCCTTTGTATAAAAGGAAAGTAGTAACCATACCTTCCCATACAAGTAAAGTAATTTTAATAAAACCCATCAGTGAAAGATTAGTTCCCTGCTGGGGAGTGCTTTGATAAAAAGAAGTCCAGAATTACAATCTATGTCTGTCAGTTCAACATTCTTTCATTTACTTTTAATAGTGGTAATAATAACTGATGTTATAATTAGGTTATAATTTTGAGCCAGACCCTTTTCTAAGCACTTTACATATAAGTATCCATTTATTCATTCTATAAATATGTATTGAGCATTAAGCACTACTCAAACCCTGTGGATACAGGAACAAACAAAACAGTTTTCTGTCCTCAAAGAGTTGACATTCTGATGAAGACAGACAATAAAATAAAGCAAATAGGATACTACATATTTTATGTGAATGGTGTCAAATGCTAAGGAGGAAAAAAGAAGAAAAAGGAGACAGAAAGTTTGCCCTTAGAAGAGAGAGAACCCTCCTACACTGTTAGTGGGAATAATTAGTACAGCCACTATGGATAACAGTATGGAGGTTCCTTAGAAAACTAAAAATAGAGCTACCATATAATCCAGCAATTCCACTATTGGGTATATATTCAAAAGAAAGAAAATCACTATGCCAAAGTGATATCTGCATTCCTATGTTTATTGCAGCACTATTTATGACAGCCAAGATATGAAATTAACCTGTATCTATCAATAGATGAATAAAGAAAATATGATACATATGCATAATGGAATATTATTCATCCATAAAAACAATGAAATCCTATCATTTGCAACAACATGGTTAGAACCAGAAGATATTATAAGTGAAATAATCCAGGCACAGAAAGACAAATATCACATTTTCTCATATATAGGAGCTAAAAATATTGATCTCTGATCTTATGGATATAGAGAGTAAATTGATGGTTATCAGAGACTTGGAAGAGGATTGAGGAGGGATGTGATAAAGAGGGGCTGGCTAATGAGTACAAAAAATACAGTTAAATAGAAGGAATCAAATCTAGTGTTTGGTGGCACAATAGGATGACTACAGTTAACAATAATTTATTATCTGGGCTCGGTGGCTCAGCCTGTAATCCCGTGCCTTTGGGAGGTTGAGGCGAGTGGATTGTCTGAGCCCGCGGGTTCGAGACCCGCCTGGGCAGCGAGACCTCATCTCTACAATAAATCAAAAATCAGCCGGGCGTGGTAGCGCATGCCTGTAATTCCGGCTACTCGGAAGGCTGAGGCAGAAGGATCGCCGGAGCCCAGCAGGCGAGTCTGTGGTGGCCGGGAGCGGCCACTGCACTCCAGTCTGGGCGACCGAGTGAGACTCCAACTCAAAAAAAAAATATATGAAGGAGATGAAGGGGGAGGCTATGAAAGGGGAAGACAACTGGACAACGTTTCTGAAATATGGGTACACAGGGCATGCCACAGAATCAGCCAGGAGGCCAGTGTGGCTAGAGATGAGTGAGCAAAAGCAAAGGGGTAAGTGGTGTGTGTCGGCATTGTGAATCATATAGGCTTGAATAGGTTATTGAAACAACTTTGGCTTTTATTTGAGTAAAATAGAATGCCATTGTAGATCTGTTTTTATGTTTTTTCCTTCTGACTCTTGTTTATTGTGTTTTATTTCCTTGTGTGTCTAGTTATCTTTGATTATCTGTTGTTCATTGTTTTGAATAAAAATGTCAGAAACTAATTTAAGGTCTAGATAAAGGTGATTTCTTCTAGAGTTTTTGCTAGTTTCTGCCAGGGACAGAGTCTACTGCTAATCTTAGACCACCTTATACTAAACTCAAAGTTTGAAACTTCTTGGACATCCCAGAGAATTATAACATGTAACTCTTTATGCAGACTATTTACTTATAGTTTACACTAATATATCCCTGATATCTAGTTCTTTGAAATATTAATTTATTGTCTCTCTTAGTGGATGCTACACCTTTATTGGCATTGAGTTTTTTTTTTTTTCTCACTCCTAATAGCATTACAAAGTTCAAATTTTCCAGGTTTGGAAAATTCTCTCAGGACAATAAAATGAGCTGTTTATTACATTTGCAAAAAAAAATTGTTGCAGAATTTTTTTTTTTCAGTATTTAGATTGGTCTGAATAACCTAGCTTATCAATATCTAAAGTAAGAGCCTATCACAGACCATTACTATCATTATATTTTATGAACCTTAATTACTTTGGTTTGCACACAGTTTCTAGTTTCTGATACTCGCTGTTAGGTTAAGAAATTTAGTTTTACTCTTAATTTGATAATTATTTTTAATATAAATATATTTTAAAGTCAATAAAACACCTTGTCATAATTTATATCAACTTATTGATGAGCATGTAGTTTTCATTTTAAATTGCAAAGTTTCCTTCATGTTGAACCACTTTTTAATCTCTTGAATATATTGCTTTTTTGCTTAAATGTGTTATTTCA